AGAGAGAGAGAGAGAGAGAGAGAGAGAGAGAGAGAGAGAGAGAATGTAACAAAAATAATTCACTTCATTTGGAAATAAGATTTAGTGTGCCCTACCCTAGAATGTTCTAGAATGCATGGTTTAGTCATTCATTAAGTCCCTTGTCTCTCACCTAATAGTAGTCACCCTTCCAAGTGACACTCCAGGGAAGGCTCACTTAATGAGGGGTGGCGCCAAGAAAAAGAGACTCAGCTATAACAACAAAAATACGTTTTTCATTAAACACAAAACTGAGCTGAAAAACACAGTCAAGAGGCAGGTGTATCAGTTAAGGAATTCCCTTGAGGTCTTTAACTTCCACATCAAATTGCACTGAATTTTTCTACACTAATTACCTATTACTGAAGACCAAAGAATTTTAACAAATAATTCGCCATGGCAGCAGATAGAGTACAGATGTTGTAAGGGAAAGAATGAAGAATGCATAAAGTGTAAAACCAGGCAAAAGACATTCACAAATTCTCAATTTTTAAAAACGACAATATTTTTCTACTACAAGGATTATGACTGTAAAGGAACTTTCCTAGGGCTAGAAGGACATTTTTAGATTTCATTTGGACTATAAGTGACAGGAATTGCAAAGTAAAAGCTATGTGCTGGCATCAAATCTATTCAATTCATGTAAATTTCTTGGAGGCAGAGATCACATCTCAGATTTTGTTTTTTCCAGTTTCTCTCATCACATGACATTAGCCCCTGGTTGGATTTTTCTCATGAGGAATGACCTACACAATGCCACACAGCTATATTTGTACCTTCCTTGCCTGATGTCATTGTTACCTAACACTCCCTTTTAGCCCCCCAATTCTTCACACTGTCATAATGAATCCTGCTCTATAGCCAACATCCTGAAAAAGTATAGTCAAGAAAGAAAAAATAAAAAAAAAGAAAGAAATGCAAGTTTCCTTTAGGTCATTCCCTCTGTCCATTTCCCTAAAAAACACATTCCCTACCTCACTGGAAGTCAGTCAACACTACTGAGATGACCTGTCATACTGGTGGTCTCTGTGCAAACAAACACAGCCATGAATATTTTTTAAGTTGTTTGCCACATTGAATTGTTTTATTCTCTCCAAAAATGTAAAGCAAATACTCCCTCAAAAGTAAAATCTGATTAGTTGGTAATGTTCTTCAGTTTCGATGTTGTGATTGTGGATTTTACAGAATTGCCCACACTGAATGATATACCCGCCAAATTTCTTAATACTTGGAGTAATGTAAAAAATCCAACAAACAGAAAAACCCTTTGAGTTTGAAAGATAGGAAATGTACCTTGCAGATACCACGCTGCTACTAAATGGAACATAGTAATTTTGACAGTGGTCTAATTAAACACAGCAGTGTTACAAGATTCCCATTACCATATTTTCCATACTATGCAAAGCTTTTTGCTAAAATAAGGACTGTATTTCCTCTCCCTGCCCCCCCCCAAAAAAAATTCACCCATTACAACTTTATCCTGTGAATGACACTGCTTCTTACCTCTTTTCTGTCAATGCACGATTGTTCTCTTTGAAGTACTCAGTATAGAATGTTAGGAAGGTAGCAGGCTGCCTGGTTCAATGTCATTACACGTCTGGGAAGTGAAACACTGCCTCTATAAAAGATCTAGTTTCTGTCAGTATGACTCTCTATCTCAGGCATTTCCCTCTTTCTGTGATTACCAAACACTAGTCCAGTGTCATTCCCAACCTGGGGGTCCTGGAAAGGCATCCTGAAAGCATCCACGTTATTAGTGAAATACCCAAAAGCCTAATGAAAACTGTATAGTTATCTGCATAAGGCTGGACCAGCAATCAAAAACTGGCTTTTAACCAAGAGCTTTATCAACTCACTGGATTCCAAAGTAATTAAATTATGAAATAAATTCGAAATTCCTTTTGTACATAATAAACATCTTAACGAGGAATAAATTAGGATTACAATTATAAAAGGATTCCTGATGGTTGCAGTTACCACTGTTCAAGGATAAGTCACGCTTTATTTGTCATTACAGGTCATTTGATAACGATAACAAAAATCAAAGAGCTTGACGAATTCAGTTTTGTAGGGTGGTACCTATGTGTTTCCTACAAACTTTTAAAAACATGAATGTTTGCAGCAGTCAGAGTTTTACTTATATTAATCCCTAGTGAACGCTTTCTGGGATCCATCATTAAAGAATAATCAAAAGAAGTTACTTGTACACATGTCATCTAATTTCCTCATTAGAACCTGTGGAAACATCTCAGAGTAAAATAATATGTCTCCTATACAGGTAATATATTATTCTCCCAATTGGTGCATGATGCTTTCTCAGATGACAACTTAGAAATAGTCAGGCTCAGCCTTGTCGGACATGTAAGAAATAGTAAATCATTTGTTTCATTTGGTTATTCAATCAAGATACAAAGAATATTCCATTTGTTACTCCATCTTTAAAAAAGAGTGTCAAAAAAACCCCCAAAACTGAACAGTTCCTAAGTACAGGGCTGTAGAAGTCACATTTTATTTCAGTTAGTATACCATGTCATTGCAAAGCCAAACACATGTGCAGTCATATTTCTTCTTCTTGTGCTCTTGACAACTGTCATCAATTTGGAACTTACCATAAGATGTGCTTCTCTACCACAAACCTTTATTTTCAATCCAGATTTCTGTTCAAGAGACAAGTTATGGCCTCTTTGCTATCTCTGTGATTATGAGATTGGCTTGTTTTCAGTTCTGATATTCCATACATCAGATCTACGTATTTGAATAAACACTTTAGAATAAAATCAAAATGCAAACCAGGAGAATATGAACTAAAAGATTTCACTCAATTCATATATCCTAAGATATTTTTTTACAGGACAAAGGGAGTTCTTACTTGATTGACATCAATGGACCTGGATCTTAATTATTATAATATGGATGGCACAAGTGGTATATTTGAATATTCAGCATAATCAGCATTGAATCATTTAACAATTAAAAAATCATCCTGAGGTTAACCTTGTGAAGTTTGTCCTGGCACATTTCAAAACTGACCAACATGTTAAAATTATGAACTCTTTTACATAAAAGTTAACCTCTTTACATTCGAAAAACTATAGCTTTTGAAGTACTTTTATTTCTAGTGTCTCCCATCTCTGCCTACACTGGCTTGCAAAATATTCTTTGAACTGTACTGAAGAAGACATTTCTTCCTAAACTAAGAAAAACACACACAACTATTATTGTTGGTCCTTATAAAATGCTGATTCTGATCAATTTGAGATTTTTAAGACAGAATTATATATGCATCCATCCTCCCTTACTGACTGCTACAAATTCTATCACATGAAGTCAGTCACACATTGAAATAAAGAAACATGGGAAATGAATCCACAGCTGCCAGGTAGGAAGTCACTCAGAGCTACTCAGATGCGTGTCAGTAAGAAGAAGACAAGACTCACCTCCGTTTGTTTGGGGATGCTGAACTTAGCAAGCTTGGCCTTGGCTCTGGCTGACTCGGGCTTGGTGGCCGGGACTCCCCTATAGGATGTGCAGTGCACGCTGGTTTCCGTTGACGACTTCAGCTTTGGAGACTCATCAGGAGCCTGATCTTGGCCGTCCATTGGCCGCACGTAGGCGGTCGGTTTCTGCTGAACCAAGCTGGGTTTTGAAGCCAGGGACGGAGGAAAGCTCTGAACACAGTGCCCACTGCCGCCGTGCTTGGCTGCCATAGCAGGGGGCCTGTCCTGGGTCTGAAGACCCACCTCTACGTTGCATACTTGTTTGGCCCGTGGCTGCTGTCTGCCAACACCATCTCCAAGCAGGGTCCTGAGAGAGCCCTGTTGTGCTGAGATGGAAGAAGAAGAGGAGGGAGGTGAGGATAACGGACTCGACACACAGTGATTAGGATGTTTATTACAGCTCTCAGGGTTAGCAGGTCTGTTCAAATCAATCACCCTGTGTCTATGCTTACTTGCTCTCTGTTGGCCATCAGGGGGTGGGTGCCCAACCTTCTGCCAGCCCACGGTGGCCCTCTTACTCTGCTGCACGGGGACAGCTGCTGGTGTGGAGGAGGCCGTGCTGCAGACGGATGAGGGCTGGGGCTGGGCTCTTGAATCAGGGACGAAATGTTCATCCATCTTGTTCACAGGAGCCTGAGCAACCCCAGGCTTGGGAACGCCAACGAGGTGACTTTGATTGGATCTATCAGTTAAAAAGTCTTTCATTTCATCGTAATTGCCCAGCGTATTCTGGATCCGGTTGGAGAGCTCGTCCCCCTTGTTCGTCTGGAGAAAGAAAAACACCCTCTTGTTAGAGACAAAGGAAACATGGGAAATCATGGAGAGAGGCAGTGACGGACCACAGAGCCGAGGTCACCACGTGCAGAATGAGGGCTGAGACTTGAAATCAAAATCGTCGTCTCTGAGGCCGTCTGTCAGCACTCTGCATTGCACCAGACCCAGAAACCAGTAAAGGCATTACAGGACATGAAAAGCTCCAATCCTCGGTCCGTGCGGCCACTGAGGAAATCAGCACGTGCCCTGTCACAGCTTCACAAAATGGTTCAGATAAGGCTCTCCACGAATGGATTCTCTTTTCCGTTTTTTTGCGGTCCTGGTGGAAGCTTTCCTTTAAAAATTACATTTGGCGCCAATTGTTCTGCTTCCAATTTGTAAATATGTAATTATTCTTGTCAGAAACCCAGAGTGACAGGCAAGAGAAGTCAGAGTGAAGGGTAAAATGAGCATGGGGCTAACTATTCAAGAAGCCATGAGCCTGAGCTACTCACTGCCCCATGCAGCTGGAGACACCAGTGAAATCTGAGACGATACCTCATTTTGGAAGAGGGCTTATATTTCTAGCCTTTGGGTAAATGAAAAACAATCCAACAGTTTCTTTTTCATCAGCCCTAGCAGGTACCCTAATATTAGCATGTCCTATGTGTGACAGATATGTCTTAAAACACTCTTTTAAGAGTGTTTGTTTCCTAATGCCTTAGAAAACAGAGCAGATGTCATTGACTTTGAAAATCAATGCAGAGATGAAGTCTGTATTACTGATAAAAATCAAAGCAAGTTACACTGTACTGACAGAGTGGCCAGTAAAGACATGTGAACTAGATACCAAGATTTGTGAGCAAAGACCCCGTTCTTAGTGGCTGAGCTGTCTTCCTTGGGCTAACTGAAGTTTGGTCAACTCTTCTGGTCAAGACTGTCATCCAGGGGTTAGAGGTACAAATGAGTGAGGGGTGGAGCCAAACAACGGAAAACCATCTACCTTGTAGGGTTCACTGAAGAGGGAGTAGCTTGAATTAAATGTGCCATCATCCTGTTGAGTTTCCTGATTTCTTCTTTCTCGTTCTTTCCTCCGTAACACATTTCTATCTGGTTCATAGACACTGCATCAGGAGAAAGAAAAGAGAACAACCCCACACAAAAAAATTAAAGGCTAAAGCCCAACCTGACATTCACCCGACTGTAGAAGTCTGGTTCATGGACAAATGGTGATGATGACAAGAGCATGGATCAGATTAAAGCCATTGTAATCAAGCAGGATGGGCTCGTGGGTCTGATAATTATATTCTCCAGGAAGAAAACAATCCTTAGGACAAGTTCCAACCAGTGCTAGAGCTCTCTGCCTGACATGGGAGAGGAAATATCTAAGCAACTTTGACAGGGGGAGACTGCAAGTAATCTTAAGGCAGACGGTAATTATTGCAATGTGTAAATAGAAATTATGAGCATATTTCCTCTTATGACACAGCCTCCGAGTGTTATATGGGAATGCTCCTGTTCTTTTCTTTTTTTTTCTTTTTTTTTTTTTTTGCATGGCTGTGTTTCTGTAGTGATTCTTTCATTAGCCAACTCCCTAAAGAGCTGTTAGAACTCCTCGTTGCAGTGGCTTTCACAGCTATGAGCCTTCTTCTGATCTCTGCTAATCAGTCAAGTCGTCAAACTAGGACTGAATCAACTCTTCCTTCTGATATATTTGACACTATCACGCCTCCTAACTATGAAAAATGTGCCAGGAGGAAGGGGTGCAGGCGACGGAGGGAGAGAACGGAAATTGAATTATGGTGTGTCATCAAGGAACTCAGCCTTTTTGTTGAAGAAAATGAATATCTATTCTCCTAAAATGCAATTATGAAGTGACCAGACACCAGATAACTGGGAGGACTAAGGAAGAAATAGTGTTCTTTCCCCCTAATAAGGAGAAAATAAAGGGCCTAATTCAGTTAATAATAAGGAAGTCACCCATTTAGTGAAGGAAGGAATTATAATACAACTTGTTATTTTCAGCTTAGTAGATAAAGAAATCTGGCCTTAGTGTAGACACAGAGCTAACACCACCAATTGTAAAGACCTGACACGTCCCTCGGAATGAGCACTGTCTTCATCTCCTGGCAGAAGCATGCGTTTAAGCGACCTTATCATCACCTTCCTTAGAGCTCCCACTTGGTCCAGCGGGCAGATGTCCGAGCTGGGATCCAGGGCAACCATGCACTGACTGTGGTTTGTGCCCAACCAGCACCGTGATGATGGGAAAAGCACACGTTCTGTCTGCACCCGGTGCCTTCATTACAGAGCAGCATGCTTCACGGTGGTGGTGTAAGGTTTAACCATAAAGACAGTCTATAAAAACAGCTCCAGAATGGCTTTCAGTGTCAAAATCCAATGTACTGCTATTAAATGTTGTTAATAACGAAAGAATCTGTGGGTGTTCGAAGGAACTTGAAAAAATAGGAAGGTTTTGTTTTGTTTTGCTTTTCAGCTAAATTGCTACCTTGAGTAAAAGAGAGACTATCTGTGTCATGTAGCTGTAGAGGACACAAATAAAATAATCATAACATAAATATTGCTTATCCTCCTAGCTCTGCCCATGCGGCCAGAATGTACTTTAAACTCACTAAGGGGCAATGCTAAGCTGTGCTTCCAGCAAGGCTGAGAGACACTGCATTTCAATTTAAGAGTGGGGAATGTTAAAATACCCAGAACATGCAGCCTGCTAGCATTTTAATTTGTCCTTAGTACATTACCCCAAGTTATTAGATTTGGGAGTCCAACCAGCAAGCAACCTTCATAGGAAGGGAGGCTGAGCCACAGCCTTACCAACTGAGAGGCTCACAGCTCCAACATGGCAGTCACTAAGGATTCTCTTGGGTGACTGTGGGGACACTGACTGGCATAAGGGAGGCCCAAGATGGAAACGACACTCTTAGTCTCAGAGCCAGGTTTGTCATTCAAAGGAGGGGGTGTGAAAGTCCTGGTTGTGGACATTCACAATATGAAACCCCCGCTTTCATGAACATCCCAAGGATTTCAAATGGAGACTTCCATAAGGACACACGACTCATGCTGTGGATGGACATGAAGTGGGTTGTAGCCAGGAGGAGGATTCTGGTTTCGCCATGAACATGCTAACTTTTGGACCAATTCTAGCCTTTGCAGTCATAAAAAAACAATAAAAGCTTGCACTGCCAGCATCACACTTCTTCCTCTCTCCAGTCTGCACAGCCACCTGTGAGGTGCTTACTGTGCGCAACTCATGCACAGAGACTTTCACAAACATGCTTGTTGCCCTCAGCCAGGTCAAGCCAACCAAACACACAAGACTGGTGTGATGTACAAAGTGATCTCATGTAACATGGAGCAGGCAGGGGGCATTCAGGATGACTGAGGGCTTCCAAGACAGCCCCATGCCCAGAATAATACCTCCTGCACCGGCTGGCGGACGACTGAAATTCCACCACTAGCGAGTCGTTCCTCTGGTTTAAGATGTCTTCACCCCTGTAAGAAATGCAGACACCACAAAAGGGAAAACCCTTTAAACCTGAGCAGCCCCTGTGTCTTTGTGTGCCTGGGCTCATCTGCTTTCTTCCCCAGGTCCAGGAGAAAAGGGGACAAGGACATTGGTGTGCAAACCAGAGGCGTGACGAAAACAGAAGTGGCGATGTGGAATGCAGCAACGAAAACAAATTTATCAACCCCGCCTATGTTGCAACATGGCTTAGATGTTTAAGACAAAGGCATCAGGATAAAAGCCAAAAATCAAACTCACTGCGGTTCTGGAGTCAGGAGCAAGGATCACTTCCAAATACGGAGAAGTTGGAGGTGAGAAGGAAGCTGCTCTTCCTTAACTAAGCCTGTCTCATTTCCCAATCCCTTTGAGCTTCAAGGCAACCAAAAGCACCCTACAGGCAGCCCACTGCTAGCTCAAGTCCTCTAAGGCGGTCCTATGGCTTCTAATACAGGACCGACCACACATAATCTCCCAACCTGGCCATCTTTTATGGTGCCACCACGATGCTTGTGCCATGCAGTAGCCTCCACATCATCAGATGAAACCAGGATGACCAAAAATGACAGTTACTCCCCTTCTCCAGAGGAGAGGACATGAAACCCATGGAGAGCGGTGACATCTCTTCCATGCCTTCCTTCCCAGCCATTACTCTTCCCCTTCTGTGCTCAGCAGCCCCGTAGTCTCCACAGAGCATTCAGCTCTTCCTAACGGCGGCCCACCCACTCCTCATCCTTAACTAGAACCACAACCCCACTTGTCATCACAGGCCTAGGAAGATAAAATGTCGCCTGAGTAAAGCAAATGTCATTGCAAGAGAAAGTCTGGACTTGCCATCCGCCATCTCTCCCTAAGCATCTGAACTTTGATCTCTTCTACCAACACTAAGTGTTTTGACTCCTAAAGACAGTAGCTTCTCGACAGCGAGTCCACCATCCCACTAATTACGTGTGGAATCTATGCCGGTCCTCCCACTTCTGCCCAGTGCCTTTCTCTTGATCTGTCACCATTAAAACTCAGCCTTCCTCCCTCCTCTGCCATTCCAACAACGTGAAGACCATGCCATTTGCTTTAGAAGCAAAGGAACCTTTCCCATGACAGGCTGACAGTCAGGTCAGCTTCCCTGGGGATGGGGACTGCAGCAGCAGAGAATTCCAAATGCTGGCCTGCCAATATATACGTCGTCAGACTCAGGAAGAGCCTTGTGTTACAAGCTATGTTTCTTTGTTACTAGCAGATGGTAAAATTTCTATCATCTGGAAAGTTGGTCCTGATTTCTGTGAGAATTACAAGAATCATACTCCTCAAATGTATGTCACCAAATGTATTTATTTATTTTGCAGGAAAGTGGAGGCAGCCAACTGCTACAATATTATTTATTCCTTATTGCAGATGTATAACATTTCAGAAAATGGAGCTTTTTTAAACTCCTTTTAAAAGACATTGATTTTTAGAATTAAAAAAAATAGTCAATGAAAAATGTAGTAAAAATTTTCTGATCATTTCCCATTTCTTTGTTTTTAATCTATAAATTGAGGCATCTTGTAGGGTTGCGGTAGAAGCCAATTATGGGGTTAAACTGGAATAGATGTCCAAACATGATATTACCATCATTTCCAAAATGAATATATTCTGGATCACAGGATATATCAATAGGAAACTAAATAACGATAATACCTTTGAACCTGATGGCTTCTCCCACTGAGCTCAAAACATTTCACATATATGTCCTTTAATTATAGTTACAATGTCCTTTGGAGAAAGACAGGGTTGGTAGATATTATTAGGTTAACTTGTTTAAAGATCAAGGAATTTAGCATAAGAGTTTGACCATTCAGACAATGTCATGAAGAAGACACTATGTAGAAGGGAAAGCAATGTCCCAAGTACTTTCTTCATGTTTATCCGGGGAAGAGGCGCTGTCCAGGAGCCACGCGGCGGCCACACTTGCTACACCCTGATGTCCATAATATCAGGGTTAATAAAGAGTGAACATGAGCCCCACAGCAGCAAAACACGACAAGAAAAACAAAGGGAAGCTATTTCTCATGCAGAGAGAATTAAAAGGAGAATTCTGGAATAAAGGCCAGGCTGTTAGAATTTTTCATACTCCCAAAACAACAAAAGACAAAAGTTGGTCTCTCTCCACAGCACACACATAAAAAGGCTAACCATGTAACACGGACTACTGGACTAGAGGGCAGATGAGTGAATAAAGAAATTATAGATTCTAACGTAAGCCAGCGAGGGCTGATGGTATCACCTTTGCCAAGAAAGCCCATGCCTTCATCAGCCTGCCCTGATCCCTACCCAGGGAAAGATACTGGGGCTCGTGCAGCCCAGCCCCTGCAGCTGAGCCCCAGGTTTGACCCCGAGGCCCCGCTGGCCTGGAGAGATGGCTGTCCTCCTTCCTGCGCTGATCCATGTGCAGCCCACTTCAATCTGAACACTTGCTCCAAGCAAACCACATGTGCCATGGAGGAGGCTTTCAGCCTAGGGTGTACCCAGCGAATGGCTCCCCTTGCCTAGAATCATCATCGTTTTAGTCTTAAAAACAAAACAAAAACCCAACATTTTCCTACCTAGTGGTGTGTCTCCAGGGTTGGGGTCTAGGAACAAGTCAATTCGATGAGAAGAAAATGAACAACCTCTCACCTATTTTTGAAGAAAGTTATGCTCTCCAGGTTTAAAAAATATTGTCCTCTTCAAATAGCAAATCACAATACAATTCACTTTAGTCCAAAAGCATTTCCTGAATGCCACGGTGTTAGATGCTGGCGACACAATTGGGGCTATGACAGGCCTTTCCTGCTGCTGAGAAGCTGACAGCCTAAGAGACAGGAGGAGAAGTGGGGAAGGGGGAAGGGGCCCACTCTAAGCTGAGAATGCTGACGTCATGTGGTCAGGGCACTGTAAAAGGGAGCACAGGGAATCCGGGTTGCTTTCTGCAAGAGATCACCTTTGAGCTGGGTCTTAGAAAAAGGCAGGTGGAGGACAGGGAAGGGAAAAGGAAGGGCTTAAAAGTGAAAGATACATAAATTACTGCTAAGTGGCCTTCGAGAATATTCAGAAGAGTTGACTCTTGCCCTCCCCATAGCATCTTACTTCTTTAACCAGCTAGAATTTCACATTTAAGGTTCCATTTCTTTGATGTGCTTCACTGCTAACCTGTCATTGCTACCTCATAAGTTTATCTGATCCCTTCCTGAAAGCAGGTTTGGTTTGGAGTAAATAAGTGCATAAACTTGTCTGACAGTTTGCATCAGCATCAGACCTAGCTTTGAACGGCTTGATCCACAGAGGAGACTGTCTTTCCAGTCATGGAACATTTACAGTCCTGGGACAACATGCCAACCTGCCCCTGGGGTGTGGACTGGCGGCCACAGGGCAAACAGGAAGAAAAGGGACTAAGTGGGGAGGGGAAAGACAGTTCCCAGAAACTCTCCTCTTTTTCGGAGCAGCAACTATATGTAATTAAAGAAACTTAAACACTGCAAATTTATAACAATTGCTTTAAATTTAATGAGACAAACTAATTAACATCCCTTGTTATTTATACAGCAAATGATAAAAGATCAGTAATCCTTTCTTGAGAAAACCAAGGCTGTTGAAGCGTACTTACAAATCCCCTCCTCAGTCTACAGGTAGAGCTGGTGGAGTGAAAGATAGAAAGGTGGTTAGAGAGTCAGCAGGTGATAGAAGCAAGTCAGGCAGAGAGCAGATGGGGCTGGAATCAGAGCGTGGTAAAGAGGCATGAATCCTCCCAACTGGAGTCCTTCAAGGCCCTGAGTTGTTGTAGCATGGTGCCAGTGCTGGGGATGGTGAGGTGGTGGTGGTGGTGGTGAGGGTGATGGTGATGAGGGTGATGGTGGTAGTGAGTGTAGTGGTGAAGTTATTAATGGTTAAAGACTTGCTGAGGAAAACAAGTTAACAGTGCATATAACCAACCCTTAAATTCGAAGATATGTTACTATGCCCCTGCTCACTTATATTAGGCTTTTCTTTTTGGGTCAAGGGATTCCAGTTCCCATGCCTGTTCATTTTATTTTTCCCCAACAGCATTACACAGCTGGTTTACCATCAGCTTTGTAACTATGACCCCTGATATTATTTCTACCATGAATACTTTGAAAAGGTTAGTCCAACCTTATTTGTTTGTCTCTGACCATGAAAGGTATCGCAATCTTAACTCAATCTTGAAACTCAGAGAGCATTTACAAACCTTTGCCTTACGGTTGTCAATCTGTTCTACAAGAATGGGAATAGAATTGAGGGTGGTTTGTGCCATAATCACATCTCCCGTACCACAGCTTTTGTGACACTAGAAAACAGAAGGGAGTCACAAAGTAATGAATGCCCATAGACAACTGTAACCCAAAAATAGTCCACAGCCTTTAGGATGACATATGCCATCATCCCAGAGCCATCAGGCCCATATTAAATTTTGCTAATAACAAGAACTCCCCTTATTACTACATGCAGCCACTGCGCAAAGCACTTTACATGCATTATTTCATTTACTAGTATTCAAAATCCCAAGAGACATTCTCCTCATCTTCATCAGTGAAGAAGCCATAGAATCTGAGGTTAACTAACTTGTCCGAGAATCACAGCCAGCAAGCAACAATGCTGGGGTCTGAAGTCTGGCAGTCCAGCACCAGAGACGGAACTCTTAAGACTCAGCTCTGCGGGCTCTCCAGGGAACTTGCTTACTGACAAATGGGACCCCCATCCTTTGTTAGAAAATGCGAGCCAGAAGGGTGTGAATTTTCAGATCGCAACAATTTCAATTTGTTTTTCTGAGATCTGCTAAGCCTCCTTGGCTGATATACATTAAGAATTCTTCTAAAACCTATAAAATGTAACTGGGATAAGCAATTCAAATGAATCGGCAGTGGCAATTAACTAACACTCCAGTCCTTGAATTCTGTACAGCGAATTCCTTAAGGGTTATGGAGTGCAGCTTATAACAGAATCAGCATAGACAAGCCGGTGCTACAATGTGATACTGGATACTTTTCAGTTCTTTACTGATCCCTTACTGAGTCCCAACTCCATTTCTAACTCAGTGGAAATGATGGTTGCTCCAAATCTCTCTCATAAATACACTCCAGTGAGTTTTTCAAGAAATGGCTGATAAATGACAGCTTTGCACATCCAAGGCTTAAACGCTTTTCCTGAGGAGCCCTAAGTCTTGGTGCCATGAGAACAGGCATCAGGTTCTAATGGATTTGTTCCATGATAATAAACCGCCAGGCTGTATGACAAGCAGCTTTCAAAGAGGCTTTCCATACAGCATAAACAGCAGAAGTTAATTTGAGTTTCTTAACGGGACCTTTTCCCTTTACAATATAAAAGTGGCTTGGGACAAAGCGATTACTCTGATTTGCCACCTTCTCCTTGGTAGAATATAAAGATGTAGCAGAGCCTCCCAAAATTAGTCTCTTAACCCAATGAGGCCCACTTGTAAAGTCCCTACTAAGCTGT